TTGTTAAGGATGAGGTCAAGTATGGTTTTCCCTCTTGTTGGTTCCCTCACCACCTGCTGCTGACCCAGTCTAGCAGATATGTCCTTTAGGCACTGACCAGCTCGATCACAGTACTGCTGCCGAGCCACTCTTGGTGGTGGACATTGAAATACCCCACCCAGAGTACATTTTGTGCCCTTGCCATCCTCAGTGCTTCCTCCAAGTGTTGTTCAACATTGAGGAGTACTGATTCATCACAGTACAGTACGTGGTAAGCAGCAGGAGGTTTCTTTGCCCATGTTTAACCAGACATGGTTAAAGCCAGCACACCTCCATCAGTCACCTTCCAAGATTTTCATTCAGTCACTGATACAGCATCAGGCTACAACATGGGACTATGTGTGTGCCAAACAGTGGAAGTGGCTATCAACACTGAGCTAAATGTTTCCACAACCAGTGGATCAGATCTAAGCTCTGCAACCCTGCCACATGCAGTCATGATTGGTAGCTGACAATTAACTCAATGGAGATGAAGTTTCCACAAATATCCCGATCTTTAATGATGGGGGTGCCCAGCATATCAATACAAAAGAGGAGGCTTGAAGCAATTGTAACAATCTTTATTTTGTTGCAAAGTGCCGAGTGGATCATTCATCCCAGCTTCCTTTGTAGATCCCCAGCTTCTAAGATGCCAATCTTCAACCAACTCAATTCACTCCACTTCACTTCACATGATGTCAAGAAACAACTGAAACCCCTGGATACAACAAAGGATATGGGCTCCAACAACATTCTGGCAATAGTACTGAAGACTTGTGCTCCAGAGCTAGCCACTCCCCTAGCCAAGCTGTTCCAGTACACTGGCATCTACCCAACAATGTGGAAAATTGCCCAGGTGTGTCCTGTCCATTAAAACTGGACAAATCCAACCAGACCAATTAATCAGTCTCTCTTGATCATCCTCAGTGATAAAAAGGGTAATCAAAGGGCCAGTGCTATCAAGCAGCACTAACCCAGCAATAACTGGGTTTGGGCTCTGTTCCTGACCCCGTTACAGCCTTGTTCCCATGTCGACAAGAGAAGTGAATTCCATTTGAGGGGAGAGTGACTGCTCTTGATGTCAAAGGTCGCATTTGATTGTGTGTGGCATTTAGGAGCCTCTGGAGTTGATGCGAATGAGGGTGAGGAGTGGGAAGCTATCTATTGATAGCACACTAGTAAGATAGTAATCGTTATTGGAGGTCAGTCACCTCAGCTGTAGGGCATCACTGCATAAGTTTCTAGATTCGAGCATATTCAAATGCTTCTTCAATGATCTTCCTTCCATCATAATGTTGAAGGTAGGTATGTTCACTGGTCACATCAGAATGTTGGACACCATTCATGATTCCTCTGAACTGAAGCAGCCCTTGTCCAAATGCAACAAGACCTAGATGACATTCAGGTTCGAACTAATATGCAAAAAGTAACATTTATGACACACAAATGCAGCTTTTTCAACAAGAGAGAATTCAAGCATTGCCCCTTGACATTCAATGATGTTACTGTTGCTGAATTCCCCCCACCATCAATAACCTCTGGTGGCTGCCATAGAAATATTGTGGCTACAATGGCACCTCAGAGGCTGGGAATTCTTCAGTGAATAACTCACCTCTTGAACCACCAGAGTCTACCACCTACAAGGCACAAGACAGGAGTGTGATGGAATACTCCCTACTTGCTTGGATGAGGGCAGCTCCAACAACATTCAAGAAGAAAACAAGACAAAGCAGCCCACTGGATGGAGTGCCAATCAAATGCTTTCAACATTCACCAGTCTCAGCAGTGTGTACCATCTCCAACGTGCAGCAACTCACTAAGACATCTCTAACAGCATACCCATGATCTCTACCATTTAGAAGGATAAGGGCAGTAGATACATGGGAACACCAGCCCCTGCAAGTTCCCCTCTGAGCACTCACCATCCTGACCTGACCATTCCTTCAGTGTCACTGGGTCAAAATCCTGGAAATTCCTCCTCAAGGGCATTGTAGGTGTCCTTACGCTAAGTGGACTGCAGTGGTTCAAGAAGGCAGCTTGGCATCACCTCAAGGGGCAACTAGAGATGGTCGATAAATGTTGATCCAATCAGCCACACCCATATCCCATGAGTGAATGAAATAAACAAGCTTGACAGAGTGCAGGGGAGGGGGTATAGCAGAACAAGAAAGAATTGAGGGATGTTTTACAGCAATGTTCTTCTAATGTTTCCTGCCATAATGTGGCGCTGATTGCATGTACGAAAGGAGCGATGGTTTACTGTCGAAGGTTATGGTATATAAAGAGGGTTGTCACTTGCCAGGGCAGTCGTCCCAGTACAGTTCAGGTGAAGACCATCCCAACAGTACACCTCCAGGTTTACCTGATACTGGTGACAGTGCCCCATCCAGCTCCCACACCAATCTCTGACCCACAGAGTCACCTCCCTTCGTCTTAGTTAGCCCACACCAATTTGTTTGTGCCTCAAGTATTAATCCAGAGATTATTACCTTTGAGGCTCTACTTCTTAACGGAGCAATGGTACTGCTTATACTCTGTCAGCAGAACCTCTTTCCTAGGGCATTCTATGCTGCTGCACCTGCATGGAGCTGGTGGAACCTGCCCTTTCCACTGTGAGCTCCTCTCCATTCCCAAGAAGATGTTCCAAACCCTAGGCCTATGCAAACACTGTGTCCTTCTGCCCTTCTGCTGTCCATTTCCTGTTTAGGTCCGCATCTCATGTGGGCAACCCCATGCAGCTGTAAACCTGTTGTTTCTCTTGGAGACTCTGCTGACCCTCTCTAGCTCAGCTCCCAGCTATACTAACCATGCCTATTGAAGGCAGTTGATTGACAAAAAACGGTCATTGCTAGGCACTGCCATGTCTTTGTAACTGAAAATTTGAAAGTTCAGTGTCTGAGTCTGACTTTTAATCATAACTTATATTAGAAAAACCTAACAGAACTGACAATGTGAACCAAATGTCCAACTGATTTGAGTCTTCATCTTACGTAGAATTGTAGAGATGTACAGCACAGAAACAGACCCTTCAGTCCAAACTCTTCCATGCTGACCAGACATCCTAAATTAATCTAGTCCCATTTGCCAGCATTTGGTCCATATCCCTCTAAACCCTTCCTATTCATATACCCATCCAGATGCCTTTTAAATGGAGTAATTGTACCAGTCTCCCCCACTTCCCCTGGCAGCTTGTTCCACACATGCACCACCCTCTGCATGAAAAAGTTGCCCCTTTAAGTCCCTTTTAAATCGTTTTCGTTTCACCTTAAACCTATGCGTCTAGTTTTGGACTCCCCCTATCCTGGGGAAAAGACCTTGACTATTCACTCTATCCATGCCCCTCATGATTTTATAAACCTCTATAAGGTTAGCCCTCAGCCACTGGGCTTAGTGATCCTGTGTCTGTGTCTCCTATTCTGTGGGTGATGAACCAGGTCTGTTTTACAAAGGACCTTTCCAGATTGTGGGCATTTTCGCCTGTTGTTGCTGGCTGTATTTAAGCTCCTGTTTCTGAATTAAAATGTCCGGTGTTTAACCTATTACATTCTCTAGTCCGGACATGGTTTGTTTTATCGCAGCTGATCTTGCTCGTTCTGCCCTTTGGGATAATGTTGCAGATATGTTGGGAGTAAATGGTCACCCCCTGAGTGACCCGGATGAAGTGCTCCCCTCGGACAGTGGCGTTGAATGCCAGCGGGTGGTTGGAGAGGACGATGGCATCGTCATCAGTCACGTGTGCAGCATTGGCTCACAGATGGTGGAGCAGCTGTTTGGCAGCGAGGATGACAGCAGAGAGGGCAGCTCGGCGAGTCTTAGCAAGCACAAGTGCGAGTCCGACAGCCAAGCGGGCACCACTGGAGAATCGGAGACAGACGGAGCTACCACAGGGCAGTGCAAGACCAGCGACCGAGCCAGTGCAAACCATGTGTCGGCAATGAGCAATGAGCACATAGCTTGCATTCACGGTAAGGAACCCATTCCCAGTTGGTCAGAGTATGTGACCTCTCGTTGTAGCCTGGCCACCTCCCAATCTGTTAACAGTGGCGGCCAGTCCTCAGGGAATTCCAGGGATTGTTTTCGGGATTTGGGAGTATTTGTTTCTTTTTGGGAGTCTGATTCCCTCGTATTGTGGGTTGGGTTGGTGGAAGAGACTTGGGAGAGGGGCACAGGGTCATCATGACTTCTCTCTTACTACCCTGTACTCCTACCCCCACCCATGTCTGTTTTCGAAACCAGCCTTGCTGACCAAGAAGGTTTTATGCTTCATTCGTGGTCTGTGCTGATGTGGGTTAATCTCGGACTGAAGTCGGTCATAGTTCCTTTCTCCAGGGTTTATCCAGCTGCTTCATGTTGACTGAGGATAAGTTTGGGCTTGACTTTTACTTGGTGGTTAGTGCCCTGCTCATATTCACTGTGTTCAGTTGTCCTGGAAGGGGTGGTTTCTTGGCTCGGAAGCCAAGGATTCTGAGAAATTAAGCCACGAGATTCAATGTTTTATGTGTGGAGCTTCCAAGTACATTGATAGTGACCTTCCTTTTCAGGGCTCCTGGATGAGTATATCCAAACCTATGGCAGTTTGATACCCCTGAACACCGACGATGTGATTGAGAAGCTGCAGGGTGTTTTTGAAGAAGATTTCTCGACTCCACACAGGTACACTCGTGACATTAATTTTACCAGCTTGGAGGTAAATTACTATCAGGTGGTTTGAAGCTTGACTTTGGGTTAAATGATAGAATGGAGATTTATTGAGGTGACTTTGTTATTCCCCCATCCCATTTACTTTGGGAGCACCACTCTCCATTTTCTTTGCACTCTTTCACCACACAGCTCCCTGTTTTTCTGCTGCTTTGTCACTCTTATTCCCCTTTCAGCATCCCAAGATCAGAGGACTGGCTCACTGCTGATTGATTTATTGTTGCCACATGTACCAAGATACAGCGAAAAGTGTTATTTTAAGTGTTATACAGGCAGATCGTACCACTCAAAGTGCATCAGGGTAGCAGATCAGAGTGCAGAATACAGTGTTGCAGAGAGAGAGAGATCAGAATTAATATTTGAGAGCTCTGTTCAAAACTCTGATAACAGTGGGGAAGAAACTGTTCTTGAATCTGTTTGTGTGTGTATTCAAACTTTTATAGTGCCCTACAGAAGAGGATGAAACAGAGTATAACCAGGTAGGAAGGGTCTTTGATTATGTTGGTTGCTTTCCCAAGGCAGCGGGAAGTATAGACAGAGTCAGTGGACAGCATGTTCCTCACAGGTTAAAAAGAGGGACCAAAAATAGTAATTTCACTTAACCATGAGTTCTTGCAGGGTAAACATACTACCAAAAGTACAGCCTGCGTACAGACAGATCAGGGGAGGTTCTGGGTTTGATTCCCTGTTGGTTGAGTTAGATGCTCTCAGGCAGGCAATACAGTCATCCATGACTTTTCGGGCACTGGGCTCTTGTCTCTAGACTGGAGATGTGCCCATGAATAGATTGACAGGACCTTTGTGAATGTTGATGAGTACATTGTGAGTCAACACACAGCAGGTGGACTGCAGCAGTTCAAGAAGGCAGCTCACTACCTGATTTCTGATGAAGGGTCTAAGCCCGAAACGTCAGCCTTTCTGCTCCTATGATGCTGCTTGGCCTGCTGTGTTCACCCAGCTCTGCACCTTGTTGTCTCGGATTCTCCAGCATCTGCAGTTCCTACTATCTCTCACTACCTGACCTGTGTGACTCAGAGTAAATCTAGGGAGGTGGGTGGTTGCAGGGATGGGGGGGCAAATTGCCAAGAGTCAGAACTTTTTGGCTCTGAGCAGGATTATTTGGTTTGAGTTTTGATTACAATTTTTCCTGGTTTTGCACACAGAAAGAACCTGATTCAGAACGTGATGCAGTCGTACCACCGAATGATTGGGAATAATGCTGTTCGAAATTTTCGAGTCACATACAAGAGGCATGTGCTCACTATGGATGACCTCTCCACATTGTATGGCCAGAACTGGCTGAATGACCAGGTTACATTTCTTTAGTTGATTACTTAGGATCAGTGGGCTATGACTGTGCATATATTAATACCGGTACAAGGTGGTATTGTGGTATATTGTAAACCCAACGCCTTATGCCAGTTAGAGAGTTTAAATAATGTAGTAAAACCTGGTCTAGATAGTCACAAGTAAAGATGATAATGCAACTACAGGGTTCTTGCTTCAAAAAAATGCCATTTATTTCACGAAGACCCTCCCCCAGTGCATTGTGGGTCAACAGGTGGACTGCAGCAGTTCAAGAAGGCAGCTCACCACCACCTTCTCAAGGGCAACATGGATGGTGCAATAAATACTGAGCCCAGCCAGCGATGCCCACATCCCACAAATGAATTTTTAAAAAAAGTTAGGGAAGGCAGTGGAATGTAAGGCGGGGGCATCAGCAAAATAAAATGAGGCAATGCCCTGGAGAGATTCGAAAGGCTATAACTTGGAGCTGACTCCTTGAAGATCAGAAACATGCTGGAAAAGCTCAGCAGGTCTGCAGCATCTGTGGAGAGAAATCAGAGATTAACATTTTGGGTCGAGTACCCCATCCTCCGAAGATCGGGGTGGTTTCCCACCGTTTTTGGATAATTTGAAAGCTGAAAGTTAAAGCAGGGAGGTTGGCTAGGAGAGGGCTAACAGCCGTGCTTCTGAGTGATGTGACCATGTAATATTAATCTGATGGAGGGGATAGAAGCCAAGATGGAAGAGAGTGAGCTTGGGAAATCGAACACTACACCGAATCTGTACCTCCTGAAGAAGCATGAATCAAGGCCAGCAGCAGCAGGTAAAGTACTGGTGGCTGCTTTATGGTATTGGCAAGGTGATTATTTAAGTCCTGCTATTGGAAGCAGTTGGAAAGTATAGGAAAGCCTTTAGATGACTGAAAGAGGGGGAGGAATGGATATAAACTACCAACGTCATACAGGAATTAATATCTTGCTTGCTGATGTTATTATGGAAGTAGTGATGATGGTGGTAGGATCACACTGTAAAGACCACAGAGAAGAGCACGTTCTGTATTTACCTCATACAGGGGCAGGTACCTCTCTTGATCTTTGGCAGAACATGATTGAAAGTGCTTTGTTCCCATCTAAACAACTATTGGGGGAAAAAAAAAGCTTTGAATACAGGAACCCTACAGAAAATAGAACTGGGACCCTTTTTTTGGGGTGAGGAGAAAGAGAATGAATGGAGCTTTTTTTAATTTGTTCATGGGAAGTGGGTGTTGCTGGCTGGGCCAGCATTCGTTGTGATCCTGAGATGACTTAGAGAAGGTGGCGGTGAGCTGTGTCTTTGAACTGTTACAGTTCATGTGGTGTAGGGACACACATACTGTTGCTAGGGAGGGAGTTCCAGGATTTGGGCCCAGTGACATTGAAAGAACACAATCTGTTTCCAAGTCAGGATGGTAAGTGGCTTATTGGGGAACTTGCAGGGGGTGGTGTTCCCTTGTATCTGTTGCTCTACTCCTTTGTGGTAGTTGGTCACGGGTTTGGAAGGTGCTTTTGATGGAGCTTGGTGAGTTGCTGCCATGCATCTAGTAAATGGTACACACTGCTGCTACTGTCTCGTCAGTGGTGGAGGGAGTGAATGTTGGTGGATGTGGTGCCAATCGAGCGGGGGCTGCTTTGTCCTGGATGGTGTTGAGCTTCTTGAGTGTTGTTGGAGCTGCCTCCATCCAGGGCAAGTGGGGAGTATTCCATCATCCTCCTGACTTGTGCCTTGTAGATGGTGGACAGGCTTTGGGGAGTCAGGAGTTGTTAGTGACTGCAGGATTCCTCCACTTTGACCTGTTCTTGTAGCCACTATATTGATATGGCTAGCCGAGTTCAGTTTCTGATCAATGGTAGGGTGTTGATAGGGGATGTTATAAAGTAATTGCTGGTGGAGTTCTTGGTGTTAGAGATGAGAGATGAAGTACTCTTCCTTGTTCTGCACTGCAGGTTATGAACATGTATGGAGACCTCGTTATGGACACAGTCCCGGATAAGGTGAGACAGTTCACTCAGTGACCCAAGCTGTCTGGATTGGCGGGGTGTGTGTTAAGTTTAAACACATGGAACAGTAATATTTCGAATAAAGATAGAAAATGCTGGCAATGTGCTAAAGTTCCTGCTGTTTACTCTGAAAATCTGAAGGGAGGGAGAATGGAAGAAGAAATTAAGGGAAAATTCAGGTTAGTGGATCCTACTTGCAGAGCCCAACCTTGGGAATGCACATTCATATTTCCCATTGTTCTGCCTGATCCCAGATAATTCTCGATGAAAAGGTCTACTTTTACAACAAATTGAGGTCATAGAGGTTTACAGCGTGGAAACAGGCCCTTTGGCTCAACTTGCCCACGATGCCCAGTTTTCACAATTTAAGCTAGTCCCATTTGTCTGTGTTTGATGCATATCCCTCCATACCTATCCCAACCATGTACCTGTCCAAATATTTCTTAAATGACGAAGTTGTACTCCCCTCCACCACTACAGACACACCACCCTCTGTGTGAAAACACTGCCCCTGTAGACCCTTTTGTATCTCTCCCCTCTCAGCTTAAACCTATGCCCTCTAGTTTTAGACTCGCCTACTATAGGGAAGAGCTGTTGGCTACTTACCTTATCTATGCCTCTCATGATTTTATAGACTTCTATAAGGTCTATATGAGGTGAAAGGGTTTGGAAATGAGAACCAAAATTAAAACATCCCTTTTCATAAACATCATTGGCCATCTTTGCCTCTTGAAACTGCAATGTTATAATCTTCTAATTCCATTTTTTGCCAATCATCATCTTCAGTCTGTGTCTCTGCTTAATGACTGTCCTGCCAGTGGAAACAGCTTCTCCCTGCCTTCTCTATCAAAGCCCCTCCTAGTCTTACTTTTGAGCTTTGCTGTTTAAAGGAGAAAAATCCCAGCTTTTCTGGTCTGTCCACATAGCCAGAGTCCCTCCTCCCTGGAACCGTTCTGGTTATGTGGATGCTGAAAGTCTGAAATAAGACCCAAAAAATGGTTGGAAAAGCTCAGGTCAGACAGCATCGGTGGAAAGGTCCAGGTTAACTTTCAGGTATGTGATCTTCTGGTAAATCTCCCATGCTTCCTTATTCTGAAGCTAAACATCCTGCTAGAAAGGTCCGTTAGGGAGGAGTATAGATTAGTCTGGAGGAGAAGTGAAAGAGAAATTTGTTTGGCTTACATGTTATACATGAGAAATAGTAGTGAGGATGAGGTGTTGAAGACTGTGGTGAGTGATCGAGTTGAGAGTGTGGATTTGGTAATGCAGGGAGATCAATCACAAGTGAAGCTGTCTAAGAATTTCACATCTGCTTTCTATACTCAGGTTCACTTCTTCAACAGCTTTTTTTACGACAAACTGAGAACCAAGGGGTACGATGGCGTGAAGAGGTGGACTAAAAATGTAAGATTTCCCACCTAACGTGAGCTTTAGGTTCAGCATAGATTGAAAACAGAGCAAAGCTCCCTGTGACCTGTCCCTGAACCGCCAAGCCGGCTGCGTGCAAGGCTGACTGGAGAATGAAGCTCCCTTATAAGCCATTGTAGTATTCCCAGACATGGATTGGATGGAATATTTTGATTTTTCTCAAACCTCCAAAAGAGTTCCCACTACGCAAATGTGATATCCTGCTTCATTTCGTTAACACTAAGGGAGAAGATGGCATAGTCACTGGATCATAATCCAGAGGCCTGGACAAATGTGCTGGGCAAATGAGTTTAAATCCCACCATTGCAGTTGGTGGAATTTAAATTGTCCATTTGAAAGTTAAAATCAGCAGGGAATCATTCAGGGTGAGCAGTGATCCATACTGATTGCTGTAAAAACCCATCTGGTTCACTAAACGTCCTTTAGGGAAGGACATATGCCCTCCTAACAAGTAATTAAAGATGGGCAGCGAATGCTGGTTTTGTTAATGACATCCAGACACCATGGAAGAATAAAGAAAATAAAAGTTTTGTGGCTCTCTTTTCCAGTGTCCTTACTTTCTCTCCTAATCTGAAGCCATTAACTCTTTCCACGTTCTGTTTGCAGGGTATCAGACACCTTTTTGATACTGCATTGAAGTGGTCTGCACTTGACAATGACACCAGGCTATTAGCAGGAGAGGGGAATGCTATGGGATAGTTCCAGTAATGTCCTTGCCTGTTAACGGCATGTACATTTCCCAGAGGGGCTTATGGGAGAAGAGTTTGGAAATTGTTGATCCTTTTCTAAGGTCTATTCATTTGCCTCTTTGTCACAGTATTTATTGTACTTTCTTCTTGTAGGTTGACATCTTTAACAAAGATCTGCTCTTGATTCCCATTCACCTGGAGGTCCACTGGTCACTGATCTCTGTCGATGTGCGTGAGAAGACAATAACATACTTTGACTCCCAGCGAACCCTGAACAGGAGGTGCCCCAAGGTACAGGGACAAGGAAGTGGTTCCTACCATCCAGCTCTGTGAAAGTCAAAACACTCTCTTAGTGGCTCATGTGTGGCAAAGTAAAATTGAATGTTGATGGCTTTATTTTCCCAATATCCACATGGAAAGCAACAAAGGGACAAAAGGCAAATCCTTGGACGCTGCTGCCGCCGCAAACCCCTCTTTCCCCCATCCCTGCACAATTTCAGAAGCAAACCAGAGGATGACGACTGAGTAGGAGCTTGCAGGCCAGGTTGACTGTGGTCCCTGTCTGGCCAGTACATCGCAGGAGGACCTGAGCATATACAATGACAAACCTGTCTTCACTGTACTCTGTGTTGGACCTGTACCCAACAGAGCGATGGACCTGTCCACATCAGTACAATACCCCAGTGTTATCCGGTGATGGACCTGTCCCCGCTAGTACAGTACCCCAGTGTTATGCAGCGACAGACCTGTACCTGTCAGTACTGCAGCACCCCAGCATTATGCAGTGACAGACCTGTCTCTGCCACTACTGTACCCCAGTGTTATACAGAGAC